TTGAGAGCTTGAAGAAGGCCAAAACTGTTGAGTTAGTTGCAACTAAGTTTTTTGATTGTTAATATTCTTGCAACATGTATGTTTTTGATGATTTTCAAATATTATTGTTTTGATTATAATTTCACCTAACATTTTTTGGAAGTATTATTTTGTTGTGTGTGTACTAATATTTCAGAAAAATCATACTTTAGATTGTTGAAGACTTCAAATCAGATTAGATTAGGATTTATTGTAAATGAAGTTTGTATTTTTAATTTTATTGAGTCTGAGAGAGTGATTGTAATTGAATAACTGTGCACACACACACTAGGGGAGTGTTTAAAATTGTAATTTTTTAAACTAATTGTACTGTACGAACTCATTTTGTACGGAACGATATGTTTAATTATTTTTCCCTTCGAGTAGACAAACAAATTACAGGTATAAATTTTTTCTAAGTGCAGATCGTACTATACGAATCTTTCTTTGTATGTATGCCGTCCAGAGTACGAATTGGATGAGTCCCTTTTCGTCCAGACAAACTTGAAAATTTTTTGAATGGATCGTACCGTACGATGTCGTCATCGTACGTACGCCATCCAGAGTACGAATTGGACGGGTCCTTTTTCATCCAGTCGAACTCTTAATTTTCTGAACTGATCGTATCGTATGATGTCATCATCGTACGTATGTTGTACAGAGTACGAAAATGTGGGGTCTCTCTGCGTCCTAACGAATATGAAAAATTTTATAACTCTTCGTATAGTACGAATTGGATTCGTACTGGACGATCATCATGTATGAAGTCATTTCGTACAGATTCACAAAAGGTTCGTACGCAATAATTTTTGAACTGTTCGTACGCACGAACATACGATCGTACTGTACGATCATACACGCTCAAAATTGAAAATTTCAAATTTCTAAACAATTTTTCATGTCTTTCATATAAAAGGTCCTTTAAAACTGGTGTAAAAGGAGTCCTTCGTGAATTTTCAAGTGAGCGTGGGAGAGTGTTTGAGAGAGATTTCTTGTAAGTAGAGTGTGAAGGGTTCACAAGGTTACTCAAAGGTAAGGATCTCTTTGTGTTTTTCGTGATTACTCTTCCTTTCTTCTGTCTAGCTGCTCGTGAGAAGATCTTTGAACAAAATTTGGTACTTTGCCGACACTTGGAGGGTGTGAAAAGACGACGGTTCTCTGCCGACACTTGGAGGGTGTGAACTGACGACGGTACTCTGCCAACGCTTGGAGAGTGTGAACAGATGATAATTCTCTGCCAACACTTGGAGAGTGTGAAAGGACAATGGTTCTCTGCCGCATTGGAGATTGGTGGAAGAGAGGATTTGTAAAGGCTTCTCCGCCTTGCTATGGGGGAAAAAGGAGAGTCACTTTATTAATAGTGCAATACCTGAAGAGAGAGTCTTCAGGGACTAGATGTAGGTCTTGTTTGATCGAACCACTATAAATCTTTGTGTCTTTTATTTTCCATAATTTATTTTTTGTAATTTTGTTGTTGTGGTTGAAAAGCTTTTTAAAAAAGATAATCATTTTTAGAAATTAATCAAAATGGTTTTCTAATAAAAATCTAAGAGAATTTTTTAAATTACCAAATTATCCCCCTTCTTGGTTAGTCTTGGGACAATAGCTTAGGTTTAACAACCTATACAGAATCAATAATAACCACTATATCGGTTTTGGCCCTACCAGATTTCATCCAAGTTTTCATAGTGGAGATGGATGCCTCTGGATATGGATTAGAGCAGTACTCATACAGGACCGGAGACCCATTACTTATTTTAGCTAGGTATTGCTAGCTAGGGAAAGATTGAAATCTGTATATGAGAGGGAGATGATGGCTATTATGTTAGACATTCAAAAGTGGCGACCCTACTTGTTAGGTAGGCACTTCATCGTCAGGACAAATTAGTGGGATCTGAAATACTTGCTGGAGCAGCGGATGGTGATTGAGTAGCATCAGAGATGGTTGTCCAAGCTGCTGGGGTATGACTTTGAAATACAGTATAGACCAGCATGGAGAACAAGGCAGCAGATGCATTGTCCAGGTGCATGGGAGAGTTGCAGTCGATATCAATCTCGATTTTGTTGATTCTAGATTGGGAGGTCATCAAGGATGGTAGTGCACAGGATGAGGAGTTAGGAAATATTAGGGCAAATTTGTTAAAGGAAGGGAATAGCCACCTAGGGTATTCTCAGATAGGGAGAGGTTGCTGTATTAGAGGAGGTTTGTGCTGCCTAAAACATTTGTCCGCATCCCGCACCTACTCCAAGAATTCCATGGGAGTTTTATTGGAGGTCATTCAGGAGTGCAAAAGATATACATTAGACTTGCCTCAGAACTGTATTGGAAGGGAATTCATAAGGATGTGGAGGATATGGTAGCCAGGTCTGAGATTTGTCAGAGGAGCAAGTACATGGTCATGCCTTCAAGAGGATAGCTACAGCCGTTAGCTTTACCATGATGAGTGTGGGAGGAGGTATCCATGAACTTTATAGATGGACTATCCATATCAGAGGGATTTACAATTATCTTGGTGGTAGTAGATTGAGCAAGTATGCTTATTTTATTCCCCTACGACATTCCAACACCGCCGTAATAGTCGCATCAGCTTTTATCAGGGCGGTGGTTCGCTTGTATTAGATACCAGAGTTCATAGTATCAGATCAAGACAAGGTGTTTCTCAGCCATTTTTGGAAGAAGTTATTCAGGTTACATGGGACAATACTGAAAAGGAGCACGGCTTATCACTCATAGATAGATGGTCAGACAGAAGTGATCAATAGAAACTTGGAGACATACCTATGATGCTTTGTGTCGGAGACATTCAAGTAGTGGGCTAAGTGGTTGGCATGGGCGGAGTATTGATACAACACTTCATATTATTTTGTTTTTCAGATGACACCATTCAAGGTGTTGTATGGAAGAGATCCTCCTCACTTGATGCACTTTGAGCATAAAAAGCACCCCGGTTTCATCTGTAGAGAAGTATTTGGAGGAAAGGGATCGGGTGTTGGAAGAATTAAAGAGACGTTTATTGAGGGCCCAACAAATCATGAAGAAACAGGTTGATGGGCACAGGAAGGATATCCAATTCGAGGTGGGGGAAAGGGTATTCTTAAAACTTCGACTTTACAGGCATAAGATTGTCGCCAATAGAAGAAACAAGAAGCTGGCACCAAAGTATTTTGGCCCTTTTGAGGTACAGAAGAGGATTGGGGAGGTTGCATACAAGCTGAAATTGCCTTCAACATCAAACATACACCCTGTTTTCCATGTCTCACAAATGAGAAGAGCAATTGGGGAGCATGCAGTCAGTTCTGAGCTACCAGTGATGTTAACAGAGGACTTGGATGTGATGTTGGAACCCCTTGGGTTACAAGGAGTGCGCCAAGGAGGGGAAAGGGAAAAAGAGGTGTTGATCAAGTGGAAAGATCCTCCAGATTATGTGGCGACATGAGAGCCTTATGAGAGGGTGAAGTATCAGTTTCCCTCCTTTCACCTTGAGGACAAGGTGGTTCTTTGGGAAAACAGAAATAGTAAGAGTTGTTTAAGGTTAGTGTTATGCATGTTTTGTGGCTGTTTTGGAGAGTTCTTGTCTTGGAGTTTTGGGCTCTACATTTCATCTAGGGATTGGGAGAGAAGATCCTCCTCTCAAATTGAGGATCAATTATATCTTGTGTTGGTTTCTTCATTTATTTGAGTTCCTTAAATCCAAGGTGTTGTTTTTGCTGAAATTTTCCATCCGATTCTCATTTGTTGTTGTTTTTCTCCTCTATTGTTAGGGATTACTTGGATTTCTCAAAGTATTTCCTAACAAAATCTAATATCAATTCAATTAATCATACAACTAAATCATATACTTAATCAACATACACTTACTCTCTTTTGATTTATCATTAAATTGATCACAACACAAATATACCAAATGTAAATTTGTTCAATAATATCAGCAATTTCCTATTTTTTTAGCGGTTTGAGTTACCATTGCTGTTGAGCATGCTAATTTTTCTTTCTTTGTTCAACTCTTGTCAGTTGTGGAGCAACTTCTACTTATTCTTTTTCATCCACGTCCTACATCTCCTCAACTACATCATGAACACCTAATTTAAAGCTCTTAAAGTTTTTTTGGTGATGGTGGGATAATTGTGGATGGAGATTTACATTTGTTGATTTTGGTATGGAGAGTATGTGACGAGCACTTAATGAGGAATTCAAATTGGCTACAATGAAATGTAAAGAGAATAATTGATGTGGCAGAGATGCTAACTATGCTAGGGAATTATTTGGTAGGCTTGGGGTGATGGTGGGGCTTGGGTAAGGCTTTTTGGAGAGGAGGTCGAAAGGTGGGGATGGGTTCTTAGGGTTGGTGATGATTGCTAACCGATGAGGAGGGTTGTGGAAGATTAGGGTTAGTGAGGAAGGGGAAAAGCAAGAATTAAAATTAACTAGGTTTTTCTTTGCATGGGAGTTGGAGGAGGGATTCTAGGATTACTAGGAGGAGAGATGATGAGGTCTTGGACATGGGAAAGTAGCAGAGGGTGTGGTATCAAGCTAAAAAATGAAAGCTTGATAATTTGAAATTTGGAGGGGAAGGAAAACTAAGGAGCAATAACTTAAGGTTTTGATGGAAAAATGATGAAGATGGGGAATGATTTCGGAAGCTTGTGAGATATAATAAAGATGAAAATACAAAGAATTTAAATATAAAATAACATAAAACTCAACCCTTACGAAATGATTGAGGTGATCTTTAGCCAGCAAGTATCCAAACAAAGAATACAAGCACGAGCAAAAAGAAACCTAGTTCAAATTTTTAATTCGACTTAAGATTGTTCTTATAACAATTTTACACCATGTAAGCATGGAGAGGGGTTGATAGTTCCATCTAGTGGAGGAGGTGGCGCCTTGATTTGAGGAGGTTAGGCTAGTGGTTATGAATCTTTCTTGCATGTGGACTATCCTCCTTTGGACGTGCTTTGCATGTGTAGATCAGACATGAATGTCTTTTGCATGAAGAAATCAATTATATGTCATGCACAAGGTTTTAAAGTCATATCCATGCACATAGCTTATTCTTGGCTTTGACAAGGCTGATCATTTTTTGATGATCATCAACTCACATATTAATCAACTCTAACTACTATTAAAGTCCCGATATTACAATAATAATAGAAGTTACAATAATCACTCAGAAAGAACAAAATATCCTCATATTCTTGCAATCATTCTTGTTGTGCTGCATAACTCTTCCCCACTTGAAATACCTTTACTTTGTAGAGTTGAATTAATGTAGCTGAGCAATGAACCCATATGAAGAAGCTTCAATTCTGCATGAGTCTGCCGGGCTGGATTGTTTATAAGTGTAGGGCAGTAGGAAAATCTATATCTACAAGCATTTGCAAAAGTTCTTCTTCATTTCCTACAAATTTGTTAGTTTGCCACGTCTAATGCTTCATAATTCGTTCAGATGATAACAAATTAATTGCAATGAAAAGAGGATTATAAAATATGACAAAAAGCAAACTCAGATAATAACCATATATAATTCTATACTCCTATGCAATGTATGATAATTTGTTGTTTTATGGTTACGGACATGAATGCAATATAAAATATAGTTGCTAGTTGCAACACAACTCAAATGATAGTTAATGCAGTGTATATGAACTAAAGCTCTGCAAGTGATTTGTTAATTATAATGCAATAATGTATAAGTATGATAATTCAAATTAACAATATTTTATGGTCTAAAACATAATCCATTTAGGTACCATGTAAGTCCTAATAGTTAGTATGGCACATGAGATCAACCAATGGTAACATAATGGTATGGTCTATAGTTAGTTGTGGGTCATAGAAAAGGTATGTCAAAAAAAAATTCCCTATGGTATGCATCGAGTATAATATATTGGAGGCTGATAGGAAATAGTCACCTCTACTAGAAAATCTGCTGTTTTTTGAAGGCAAACAGCAATAGGACTGCAACAACTTGAGAAAAACTGTAGAAATTTAAGAGAAAAACGATGGATTCCACTAGCAAACGAAGAAAAACAGCAAATGGTACGAGTTTTTCAATTTGAGAGGAAGAAACGACTCTCCAAATCCCTAGCCAAGCGACTCGAGTCCAAGCACAATGAAGATCTCAAATTTTAAGATTTAGATTCAAATTCAAGATGAAACTCTAATTCTAGCTTTAGCAACTAATTAAAGCCAAAGGAGAAATACAAAATCCTTTAACAACCCCTAATTCAAATATTTCCCTCCAAAGCAATTTTTGATTAAGGCATGGGCCCATAGGAGCAGTCGCCCCCTTCTCTCTCCCTTACTTGGGCCGGCGGCTGTAGTAGAAAACTGGTCCACTAGGGACCGGTTTAATAGGAACAGCCGACCCCAATTGGGCCGGCCTAACATTACTCCCCTCCCAAAGACTCACCTTGTCCTCAAGGTGAAAAGAAGGAAACTAGAGCCTCACTCTCTCATATGGCTCCCAAGTGGTCTCGAAATCGGGAAGGTCCCTCCATCTGATAAGCAATTCCTTGTTTTCCCTTTTATCTGATATGACCCCTCTTAACTCTAGTGGTTCTAAGATCACTTTCAACTCTTCTATCTGTGTAGTTGGCAACTCCGCACTAACTACATGCTCCCCTAGAGCTCTTCTCAACTACAATATATGGAAGACTTGGTGTATGGTGGCAGATAGGGGTAACTTCAATCGATATGCCACTACTCCGATCTTGTCCACAGTCTAGTAGGGATCAAAGTACATTGGGGCCAATTTCTCGTTCCTCCTGTTAGTAATTGATCTCTGCCTATAGGGCCTTAGCTTCAAGAACACTTTCTCCCCCACTTCATACTATATGTCTCTTGTATGTGTATCTGCCTTCTTCTTCATGATTTATTGTGCCCTCAACAGATGTTTCTTTAACTCATCCAACACTTTGTCCCTCTTCTCTAAGTACTGCTCAACTAAAGAGAATGGTGTGCTTCCTCTCCCAAAATACACTAAGTGTGGGGGTATCTTCCGTATAACACCTGAAAAGGAGTCATCTAAGAAGCAGAATGGTACGAAGTATTGTATTAATACTCGGCCTATGGTAGCTATTTTGCCCACATTCATGGTGTTTCAGAAGAAAAACACCTCAAATAAGTCTCCAAACTTCGGTTGATCACCTCCGTTTGCCCGTCTGTCTGTGGATGGTAGGTGGTGCTTCTCCAAAGAACAATGCCCTACAATCTGAACAACTCCCTCCAAAATTGGCTGAGGAACACTTTGTCTCGATCAGACACAATCGATTCAGGAATCCCATGTAGTCTAACCACCTCCCTGATAAATGTTGTCGCCACTGATACTGCGGTGTAGGAATGTCGTAAGAGGATAATATGGGCATACTTACTAAGTCTGTCAACCACCACCATGATGACTGTGAATCCCTCTGATCGTGATAGACCATCTATGAAATCCATGGACACTTTCTCCCATACTCAGTTTGGAACTGCTAAGGGTTGTAGTAGTCCTCATGGAGCCATGGTCATATATTTGTTTCTTTGACACACTTTATCCCTCGCCACCATCTCCTCAACATCTTTATACATCCCATTCCAGTAAAGCTCAGATGACAGTCTTCTATAGGTCTTTTGTACTCTTGAATGACCTCCAACTGCACTGCCATGGAACTCCTGTAACAAGTGAAGAATATGTATAGAATTTCGTGGCATCATAAATCTCCCTTGATGAAACAACCTTTCCCCCTCAATAGTAATCGGGATGGCTACTATTATCTTTCATTAAATCTTTCCTGATATTTCTCAACTCTTCATTCTGCATGCTTTCTTCCTTAATGGTCTCTCAGTCTACCATCAGTGGTACTGGAACCGCCAAATCCTAAAGTTCTCCAACACATCTAAATAAGGCATTGGCCGCTTTATTTTTCAAACCAGGCCTGTATTGGATCTCAAAGTTATAGCATAATAGTATGGACAACCATCTCTTATGCTCTTCGATCACTATGCTTTGCTTCAATAGGTATTTCAAGCTCCTCTGATCCATCTGAACAATGAAATGCTTACCCAAAAGGTAAGGGCACCACTTATGAATAGCAAAGACAACGGCCATCTGCTCTCTCTCATATACCGATCTCAATTTAGCCCTGGTTGATAGCACTCGACTAAGTATGTTATAGGTCTATGATTTTGCATTAGCATTGCTCCCAACCCATATCTGGCCGCATCGGTCTCTACTTCAAAGATCTGGCTGAAGTCTGGAAGAGCTAAAATTGGAATTGTAGTCATGGCTTTCTCCAATTTCTCAAAATCCTGAGTTGCTACCTCTCCCCATTAAAAGTTATCGATCATCAGTTGCTCGGTCAAGGGTCAAGCTATGGTATTGTACCCCCTCACAAATCTTTTGTAGTAACCGGTCAGTCCTAGGAAACACCTCAACTTCCTTATATTCCTAGGCATAGTCCATTTTTGCATTGCCTCAAATTATTTTTGATTGGCCGCCACTCCCTCCTGGGACACTACATGTCCCAAGTACTTCACACTAGACTGGGTGAAGTTGCACTTCTTTAGGTTGGCCCTCAGCTGATGCTCTTGTAAATCTCCCAAAACCATCTTCAAGTGCTCAAGATACTCCTCAGTCTTGATGTATGCTAGAATGTCGTAAAAAAATACTAGAACAAACTTCTTGAGGTACTACTAGAATACCCTATTCATCAAAGACTGGAAAGTAGTAGGGGCGTTAGTAAGCCCAAACGACATTACCAGAAACTCATAGTGCCTCTCATGTGTCCTGAAAGTTGTCTTTGAAATATCTCTCTCCCTTATTCTTATCTGATGGTACCCAATTTCAGATCCAACTTGAAAAGCATCAGTGCCTCATACAATTCATCCAAGAGCTCATGAATCATAGGAATAGGGAACTTATCTAGCACTGTCCCCTTGTTCAAAGCTCTATAGTCCACACAGAACTGTCAGCTCCCATCATTCTTCTTGACCAATTGGACTGGACTAGAGAAATGATTCACACTCGGCCTGATAATCCCAGCCTCCAGCATCTCTTGGATCAACTTCTCAATCTTATTTTTTTTTGGATCTGAGGATACTGGTAAGGACGAACACTGATCGGCATCACCCCTTCCTTCAAAGTAATGGCATGCTCTAACTCCCTCTATAGTGGTAGGCCCTGCGGAGGTTGAAAAACCTCGCTGAAATGTTGTATGAGTGGATGCACTGAAGAGGGGATGTCTCCCTCCTCGTCTAGTCTGACCCCCTCCAAGCGATGCAACTCAACCAAAAATTCTTCGCCCACTTCCTTTATTTTCCTGATCAAAGACTTGAGAGATATCTTAGTTTTAGATAGCCCTACATCACCCTGAATCACCATTCTCTTTCCCCCAACCACCAGTTCCATGCTCAGTGTTCCCCAATTGGTTTTAGTATCCCATAAGGTCTATAGCCACTTCGTCCTCAGGATGACAACATTGCTTTCCAACTCCAAGGAAAGAAAATCCTCCTCACTTAGATCCCCTGTATGGTCAACATCACTCCCCTGCAAACTACTCTACCAATCTCCACCTTTCCCGTGCTCATTATCACCCATAGCCCCTGTATCCACTAATTTTACCCCCAACAGATCAACAATCTGGGTGGAGATGAAATTGTGGGTTGCCCCACTGTCTATCAGCACCACCACCTCTCTATCTGCTATCCCTTTATTTTCATGGTATGATTTGGGTGAATCCCACCACTGAGTTTAAGGAGACTTCTGCTACATCCAAGTGCAACTTCTTCTCTTCCTCCACTTCTAACCCACTCTTACCCCCCTCTTCAGCTTCCTCGTTATCACAAATGATGAGAACCTGAAGAGTTCGGTCCTTATACCTACGCCCTGGCATATATTTCTCATCACATCTAAAACACAACCCCTTTTTTCCTCTTTTCCTGTATCTCCTTTCCCAGCAGCCTTTTGAAATTTCCCTCATTTCCCCTTCCTCCAGCTCTCTCTTTGGGCTTCCCTCAGCCTCCCTGGTGTAAGTCCCTTGGGAGCTGAGAAGGTAATGGTCATTATGTATGATCCTCCTGAGTTGATCCCCTTAGTCCCCCTCTCTATATTCTTATGGTCCTCCACCAATTGTGTTAGCTCAATAGCCTCTCCCAGATCTTGTGGCCTCATCACCAACTGCCCGGATCTCCGCTTTAAGCCCTTTCATAAAGTTTATCTCTAGTATTGTCCTGAGAGCCAGTCAAGTTTGTTGGCCAGATAATCGAACCTATCACGATAATCTGCCACGGTCCCTTCCTATGTCAGGGCAAATAATTGCTCATAGAAGTCTCCTCCCCTACCAATTCAGAAATGTTATAAAAAACAATCTTTGAACTCCCTCCAGCTTCGAATGGGTTGTCTCATGTCTCGCCATTGGTACTATGCCAGTGCCTTACCCTCCAAACACAGTCCTGCCATCATCAGCTTTTCTTCCTCTGTCAATTCGTTGACAACAAAGTAATGTTCCACTTTGTAGATCCAGCTATGGTCATCCTCGCCCTCAAAGATGAGCATCTTCAGCTTTCTCACATTCGGTTCACCTCCGTTTCCTCTGAATCATCCATAACCTCCCATTCCACGAAGAGGTGCTCCCCAGTTGTAATGATCATCCCTCCGATGATCATAACCAAACCCTTCATCATATTCCCCTCTTCTTCTTTCAAAATCAGCACCTTGGTGGTAGAAATCCTCAATTCTCTCCACAAAATTAGCACCCCTCCTTTCGTAGCCCATACTCATCTCCTCCCTATAAAGTGGTTCTAGATGAGTCATTCCATCATCTCCCTTAAGGATCTCCACTTCTGGATTCTCCCTCTCCCTAAACGAGTTCAGATTTTCTCCTCTCCCATCGCTGTCGGTGGTCTCCTTTGCTTTCGATGTTGCCGGATTTTGTTTGTCTTCAAGCATCTTCTTCATCATGTCTTCCAAGGTGGCAAACCTTCTATCCATCTTTTTATGGATATATGCAAACTATTTTTGAAAACAAGTCTTTAATTGTCTTAGTTCTCCCTCCAAGATTTTAACCTTTCTTCTGGCCATTGATAACCCTTGGATCGACGTGCTCTGATACCAATTTGATAGGAAGTGGATGCATTTTTCCTCAAAATTAGCGAACGACAATACAAAATTAGGAAGAAAAACACACCAAAACTATTTTTATTACAAGTTATATGAAAGAAAATAACAAAATACATTTGGATCTTCAATTCGACAGGAAAATCCGGTTCTCCCAAATCCCTAGCTTCCGTCTAGAGCCCAAATAATCTAGGAAATGCAGGTCTTCTAGTGTTATCTGCAAGTGTGACTTCCGTACTTGCTAAAAGTTCATACACTTCGTCATTGTACTACTACTTTAAGATGTGGGCGAGCTGTTGTGTGCACAACAAATCTCCTACAGTGGCTCATAGGCCCTTGCATTTGTTGTGTATTGATCGCCTCTGCTTGCATGGGATCAGTGCATTTGTTAGATGGTTGCTTATTATTTCTTGCAGGAATAATCTAGCATCTAGTACATGTTATTCGTCGTCGGCATTCGCCACTGATTTCTTTGTGCCTGTTGACAAACGAGTCACTAAATGAATCCCTTATTGACCTTCAGTGTTCGCGGGGAACGATACACCCGTTGAGCTACATTCATTACTGGTTTCCCTATCCACACTGATTAGTGAGTTGCATTCATCATTAATTTCTTTCTGTATATGTTGGCTGACAAGTTGTTTTTCAGTGCATGGTTTAAAATTGCGCAATATGAGGCTCGCCTTGAGGCCCGCCTTTGCACAATTCCAGTAAAAAACGCCTTGATGCTTATGCATCGAGTTTTTTTAATGAGGCTTGCGCTTCAACTTGGTTGAGGCCCGCCTCGCCTCACTAGCATGAGGCTTACGCCTCACGCTATATATATTAAAACTTACATAAATCTTGAAGTAAATGCCGGACATTGGACTCTATAGGAGAGGAGGAAGGGGAGAGAGCAGTTCATCATAATGATGATTCAAATGAAGAACCCCTTAGTGATAACAGTGCTGATGACTTATGAGTTCTTATGTGATATGTCATTGCTATTTATTTTTGGAAATTGAAATTATATTTTAATGAAAAGAATACTGAGATTTGGGAAAGATAGAATTTTGAGTTGAACTATATTTCATGTTGTCTTATTATTGGGATATTTTGATTTCACTTCATATCTTATGCTTTTTTATATTTTATATTATTCATTCATTAGTATATAAAATATTTATCATTTTATGTTTACGCAATCTTTTGATTTTGAGGCTTACGCCTCAAAACGCCTTGAGGCTTACGCCTCGCCTCACGAATGAAAAACACCTCAATACCCGAATACGCAATTTTAAACATTGGTTCAGTGCACACCTGTCCCTCTTGCTTGCAGGATACTATATGATGTGAATGTTGTGCATTGATTACTTGATCTTTGTTTGTATACAATCAATGCTCAAAATCTCATCTGTCATAAGTTCCCTACTTTTTTATTCATGTTTATTTGAGTGACTTGAACTGTTATTTAGTGTTTGCATTTTTCATTTGGTTGTGCATTTTAAAGTATAAGGATCAGTTCCTTATGGTCCAGTTCAAGTTCTGTTCCTTGCTATTGTTCAAATTTAGTCCCCTGGTATTGTTCAAATTTGCTCCCCTGTTATTCATGTGAACCCTGTGCATTTCAGTTTGAATTTCGGCAGCCTCCCAGCTTCTTCCCCCGTTTAAGAGAAGTTTTGGAAGCTGGGCCTTGAATAACTAATATTAAGATATCGAGAATCGGGCGTGAATGTCATCATGTAGCTAGAGGGGAGATGATAATGCGGTCAAGAGTCGAGCATCGATATTTTGCAATGGGCATCATGCATTGATATTGACACAGTGTTGGGCCTTGATGTCCAGACGATGCCAATTGTCGATGTTGAGATGCCGTTGAACAAAGATGAGATGTCGAGACGGCACAAGGGCGTGATTGTGGGTGTAAAAATTGTTGGCATTTGAGCGTCCATGTCAAAATAGCATTAGACTTCAATGTTGAGATGATTTTAAAATATTGATGTTGTGATGACATTGGAGAGATGGCATCGTGCATTGTTGTGAAACCCTTATCATTAACTGCTAAAGAGAAATGAAAATTAAAATATTCGGGGAATGAGATATTGAGTATGGGCAATTAATTTGGGGCTATGGAAAGCAATTAAGAAATTTTATTTTTATTTTTATAAAAAATAACAATTTAAAGTACAAAAAATTATATTTAAAAAAATCATAAAATATTAAGGCAAGTGTGTCGGACACGCATGTTCAATTAGTTTTTAATAATTTTTTAATTGGAAACGTCTTTAGCATGTCCAACACATGTGAGAGGCATGTCGGATGCCTGTCATGTCCCATACGTATCGGACATTGCATATCTATTTAAGGAGAAAGTGTAGGTGCGTCATAGGAGGATGGAGAGCCCTTTGCTTATCAAGCCTGTGCTCAAGGAGGGTGGTATTACTGAACTCCCATATAGTCTTTTGGAAGGGTATTCTTTATATTCGTTAGCATGCACTGTTCCATTCCTGTTCCTTATATCTGTTCAGAATATAGGGCGAGTGGAAGTAGATGAAGAGGAGTACTAGTCTTTTTGTGAACTCAACAGTTTCTAGAAGTTTGCCATTGTCTCATATAGATTTTTAATGATGATAAACATGAATATGCTATCCCTCATCACCTCGATTAGGGATACCTTTCAGATTTAGGTATCAAGGTCATAAAAATTTCAACATCTTTAGGATGAATCTAGGGCTTAAACTTTCGACAAGGTATTGAAAAAATATGTGAATATTTCCTGTTTGAACTGTTTGAAAGCGTGATTCTTCTATTGGGAGCTTGAAAAGCCAAAACAGTGACATCTTTCAAAGTGGTAAGAAGGATATGGCATTGAACGATATAAAAAAATGCATCATATGCTCAAATTAAATAACATGCTTCACCAAGCTGGTGATCCTTTAGTTTGTTCTAAGTTGAGAAAAAATAAGCTTCTATAAAAGGGGCTCCTTTAATGATATCCCCATAAAGATAGAGAAAGGTACTACAATCCTTGTTGTCTTTACTCTCTCGAACGAGTCTTCATTAGGGATCTCTGTTAGTCCCTTCTTTATCCCTAGTCCAGCTGCTTTTTCTAGCGTTCTCATCTCTCCCTTTGTGATAGAAGATTGATGAAGGGAAGGGAGGGGCTTCTTCAAAATTTCCCTTGCATGAGTAGAGCAATTAGGTTATAATATATGATTATTATACAACAATTAATCAAGTTGCCAATTTTTTTCAACATCACATAGATTGCATCTCCTATCATTTTTGGGACATGTAGAGATCCACAAATGAATTTGTTTCTTTGGGGTTCTTGGCATTATTTTTCCTTCCACAAGCCATATCATAATGAAAGCACAAAATGTTGATAAGATTAGCGCCTTAGATCTCTACACAAAACTTTTGACTAATAAAAAACTTAGGAGGCTAATTAGTAAAGTATGGACTAATTATAGATTTGGGTTTTGATGTGCAGTTTAGCGGTAAAACGGTAGGCATCATTGGTCTTGGCAGGATTGGATCAGCTATTGCGAAGAGAGCTGAAGCATTTGGATGTTTCATCTGCTATCATTCAAGAACAGAGAAAGCAAATACAACGTACAAATACTATCCTGACATAATTTCGCTGGCAAAGGAGTGCGATGTGCTGGTGGTGGCGTGCCCACTGATTGCAGAAACTCAACACATTGTTGACCGTAAGGTGATTGATGCTTTGGGTTCGAATGGTGTGCTCATAAACATTGGTAGGGGATCTCATGTGGATGAAGCTGAGCTCATTTCGGCATTGGTCGAGGGTAGGCTTGGCGGGGCCGGGCTAGATGTGTTTGAGTACGAGCCTCATGTGCCCGGGATTCTATTTTCGCTCGACAATGTCGTGCTAACACCTCACGTGGGGAGTGCAACTGTCGAGACACGGCGAGCCATGGCCGACTTGGTTCTTCGAAACCTCGAGGCACATGTCATGAACAACCCTTTGCTCACTCCAGTCTTATGATTCAATTCAATTGGAACTCTATATTCTCTTCATTCAAAGGGTCTTGACATTTTATTTATATATTTATTTTCTGCTTCTGCTGTAAGAAACATAATATGATCATTAAGCACTTCTTTGAGCTATGTTTCATAGCTGCCCTATAGGCCATAGGGAACGAGGAAATATCATTATGAAAATATGACTGCAATTACTATATAACCTTATTTTTTATATATTATTGCTATAATTTCTTGCACATCACATGGAAATAAAGAGCAAGAGACAGAGGCATAAAATATGCTTATAAGAAAAACAAAAAAGACCTTTTTAAGGAGTTGCAGAGATCCAGAGATCGGTAGACTGCTAAGTGCTGACATAGTCTGCATCTGCTCTCCAATGGATGTTTGTGTTCTCCCACCTTTGCTATCCCTTATCTCTCTCTCTCTCTCCATTCTCAGATATTTTCATATTTCTTTTTGTGAAGTGATGTGTGCCATTCACTACTTGTCTGTGCTCATCAGGATGATGATAGAGATATGAGAGTGGAGAAATATCAATCAAAATAAGAATTTTTTTTTTTGAATATTATATCTCTCACAGCTCCTTAAGAAAATAATTATGCTTTTGGTGTGTAAAATATCATTTTAATTTTTGACAACTCATATAAAATGGAGTATTCCATTTTTAAGGAGAGTGCATTCTCATTTAATTAACGTTAAAATATGTAAAGCTCAAAAGGTTTGAATTTTCCTGCAAAATTTCAATGGTAACCATCGATGCCACATCCACACTCAAAAATCACCAATCACCATAGGCTAGAGAATATTCAAACTCTTTCTATTAAGTGGAGATTGAGTTTGGTGTATCTCTTATGAATAAGAATTAAAAATACATTGATGTAGAGCTGAATTTGAACTAGGAATTTTCGGGTGTCAATTCAAATTAACAGATTAGATTTGCGCTGGCTCAAAGTTGACTTGACTCAAATATGCTTGAGCTAAACACAACTCATTTAACGGGCTAGTCAAAATTTTAAGACTCTTAAAACAGTTCCAATTAATTTAACAATCATAATTTCAACATGCTAACTTTGTTTCATGGCTTTAAAAAAATATAGTTTGTTTGTAAGGTAGAGAACAATCAATCTCTTTCCAATAAGTGGAGATTAAGAATATTCGGTGCATTGTTATTGATAAGAAATAAAAATACTTTAATTTAATGCTGAATATGAACTATAATCTAGGGGTGTCATTTGAATTAGAAAAATATTTTCAAAAATATTTTGATTCAAACCAAAATTAGATTTTACTATGGAAGCATTTTTATAAATGAAATCACAACTCACAATAACAACTCCAAACAAATACTAATCTTTTGTGTTTTTGATTTTGTAGAAAAAACAAATAACAAATTTTTTCTCTTTTTTATCTTTCTGATTTTTTGTTTCTTTTTAAAACAAATATCAATCTTAATCAAATATAGTAATTTTTGTATAACAATGATAATCAAACTCAACTCAGATTGTAGACAAATAAATATGCATGAAAGTAAAACTGCATAAAGTGAATACGAAAAGAAAAAGAACACAAATCAATTTTTATAGTGATTCGGTTAACTTGACATACGTCTACTCCCCGAAGTTCCATTCTTTTAATATTGCACTGATCAATAGTGACTCTCATTCAGCCTACGGTTAGACGGAGAAGCCTGTATAGACTCTTCTCTCAAAGAATATCTCCTTTCACCTCCTTGGTTTAGTGGATATGTTGAAATTTCTTTCAATTCCTCGGTGTGTCGAAGTAACGGAATCCCTTTCACCTCCTCAATGCAGTAGAGTAGCCAAAATTGCTTACTTCTTTAATGATGTAGAGTAGTCGAAATCCCTTTCACCTCCTTGGTGCAGCGTAGTAGTCGAAACCCCTTTCACCTCCTCAGTGCGGCGAAGTAGCCAATGACCTTTGACACCAAAGACTTTTTCATAAAGCTAATCTTAAGACAAATATTGACACACCTAGAGGAACTTAGGTGCAAGTTGGCAGGAGAAATCATATAAAAATCCCTCTTACACTCCCTTAAATCCACATAAGGTTCTTCCCTTTCACACAATCTCACCCTTTCTCTCATGTACTCAATGCTCTCTCTTCACTCTCATAGAAGAAATAGACCTTTGATTGCCAAAAGACCCTTGCTAAGGTTATAAGAAGACTATATGTCGACAACTTAAAAAAAACCAAACTATTTCAATTCCATTGATTCATATCGTACAATATGATTTTTAGATCGTACAATATGATTGGTTCATTTGGTACAACTTAAAACCTACACACATTTTACATCATGTGTAATATAGTAAACATATGATACCATACACAATGTTCATCTCATTGTATCATTTTAATTACAAATAAAATGTACATGTTCATAAGAAATAATGAAATTTATAAGATAATTCAATATGCTCATTTCCACGTATATAGCTACAACAATGAATTATAACATATATGAATGCCGTCTTGTATAAACTTGATGCAATAAATATTTATTAATTTTTTAATTTATTTATCTTACTCAATTTAGAAAATAAGACTCAAAATATAAAAATAATAATTGAAAATTTAATATGATGATGTCAGCATATGCAGAATGAGAATAATTATAACATATTAAGTTACATAGTGAAAGTTTTCTAAATATCAATATATCATAACTTTTATAAGGTCTGACTAAATTAAAATATAAAAAATACAAAATAAGTAAAATTATTAAAATTAGAGGTAGGATAACAATAGCCTATCTTGAGATAAACAACTTTCTCAATTGACCTAATGAAAGAAATTAACTCTAAGAGCTCTAAAACCTCTTTCCCACTTATCTTCCTTCTCTTCTCCAACCAAAGTAACGAGTAAAATGAGTATATATATAAATTCCTAGCACACAATGCTTGATATTCAATGTTGTAGTGCTCCCAATAGATGATGTTCTTAACCTAAAAAAGAAAAAACTTAGTGTTACGATACCATTTTGATAGCACTGCAAAGCCCACAAGGAATGCCAACTTACAACAAAGAGAAGAACATTATGGCAATGCCATAGCACCAGGAAATGGAGAGCTCAACATCGCATCACTGACAATGTCTATACACATACATGTCTCCTTGAAGCTTCTCACATGCACAACATTTGCATGCATCCATGCGAAGAATAGTCGTATATCTTTGCAAACACCATAAGTGACTCCACATAAGCTCCCAGACATGCCTCTCTAGCAATCCCCACGTTTGAATATCATTTGCATGCCTCTATGGATTGCATGCACATACATACACATGGCCTCTCTACAACTCTTCATATACATAATAGTTACACACATCCACAATAAGGCAGTCATTGTATATCATGGAAACCGTAATAGTACGCACCTTACACATGTCACAAGTGATCGCACATATGAGCCCACATCATCATCATCATCGCATGTCATTTGCACACATCTCTATGTGATGTTCACCATCATTGCACACATGCATGCCTCTATGTAGCCACTCTAGCGCACAACATTTGCATGCATCGACATTAAAGATCATCATTGGAGCACGCATACACAGCTGGGCACCATGAATATATGCATGCACGCATTCACACACGCACATAAATAAACATTTGTAAGCATACACTAGCATGTAAACAACTATCACATGCGCATACAACATAATGCCTTGCATAATGCCTAAGCCCCAACCCACGAGCCTCATGTTATAAAATTGGCCATCAACGCATACTCATTTGCATCAAAAGTATCAATAAGCCCACCTTGCATGCCAGAGATTACTGCTTATGGATAAGTTCCGACCAAAATAATACAACAACAACAGCAGAGAAGTGTTTTTAAATGACTACCACTGATCAAGAGCAGAAATACATTTAGATAAGCCAAACAACTTAAAGGTCCAAACGAAACTACAGCTACCCATCAAAACACTTACTATAAATAAGAACAAAAAATGAACATCTTACAAAATAAGCTGTGTCGTGGAAAAGCTCTTTCTCAGTTAATAACAGACTGATTGATTGACAATAGAACAAATCCTAGAAAATATAATATACAACAGCTAAGAATGGAAACATTGGAAAAGCCGGAGAACATCAGAATCGATTAGTTTCTCCATGGTGCTGGCCATCATGCTTCGTCAATTGCATCAAAAGTGTGAATGTGCAATTAACGAGAATCCCTTCATATAAATGCTTGCTCACTTTTAATCTGCGAAACCTGTAGTGTAGCATCTATGTTCCAGCTAGGTGCAGATTAGGAGGGAAACCAGACTGTCGCCTCACATGTTCCGGGATCAATTTGTTAATCAGCTCAGGTGATGCGCCGGCCAACTGTAAATCAATTTGTTTAATTTTCATTGACATAAATGGAATTTACATGCTTTTCAAAGAAAAAAGAATTTTGGCGTAGGATGCCTATTGACATGATATCCTGATTTCCAACAAAGAAACCCTTCCATGAGTTCAAAGCAAGGTTCAAAGTTTCAAACATTACCATGACTAGTTTTTACACATGGTTTAAAAAGGCATATGCCTCGAGGCACACCTTGATTCGAGGCGCATCTTAGGCACCTCGAGGCTTAAACTTAACTAGTTCGAATGAGGATTGCAATTTTTTCACTGAGGCACACGCCACGAGACAGTTTGAGGAGATGCCTCATTTTAATTTTTTTTTTTATAAAGTTCTGTTGAGTCGCGCGTATTAGATTTTGAGCTGCTTAGTCTTGCCAGTTTCGAAACAGTCATTCAAGATGTTCCATCGCCTCCTTCGGCAGCTCGCAGAGAAGTTGATAATCTCTCACTGCTTCGAGTAAATTTCTTCGGCTTCGCTTCTTAGAATTTTGAAAGTTTTGTTCTGACGGGAGCTTGCATGACAACTAATATTGAGTTCATATCTAATGAGTTTTGAGCAGTAAGAATTATTCTTGGCCCTAACGACATGTTACCAACAGGTCAAGTTTATATAAGGTTAAGAGGATAATTGTGCTTCATTTGGTAGTGAAAAGACATGAAGATTGGGCTCAAATAAAGAAAATTTACAACATTTAAAAAAGAAAGACATGTCTAGTTTTGCTTTTCTAGGTCCAAAAAATAAGCCTGACAATTTACATCACTTCACTATTTATTCTTGTTTAGAGTTTCTGGCTGAAAGTAATGAAGAAGTCAACATCTTTAGTCACGAATGGAGTCATTGCTAGTTACTAGCTCTTTTGATATTGCATTTTTAATTAAATGGCAAATGACAAATAATCTATTACCAAGTAAAGTTTCCAAGCTTATTATTGATTGTTTATTTATTTGATTTATTAGAATAACTGGTGGCGCAAGAGGAAAACTATTATACCCAAAAATGTTTAAAATATAAGTAAGTATAAGCTTCCTCTAAATGAATTCATTAATTCTCATTTTTTTTTCTTTCCATCATTTTGAATTATAGATGTATAATCGTATTAATTACAATTATTTAACTATTAGGTATTAGTTAAATTAATTTAATAGAAGTGTACTTAATCTGTAAAAGGTAATGATTTTTTTAATTATTGTAGCCGGCAGCAATTTCCACTTATCTATGCATGCAAGCCTTGATGGAAAATCATGTGGCTGTAGAGTTAGTGGAAAGGACAGTGGAATAAAGAGTGGGAATAAAATAATAGTTAATTAAGTAGATAAGAAGCTAGAGCACTACTCCACTTTATTTCCTCATTAGCTTGCTCTGGCATTCAAGGAGGCGGACTGTGCCGTGACTTGCAGGTGGAAGGAGGCGAGCTCAAACATGCAAATGCAGTCTTTACTTGTTGATTTCTGAATTTCAGGTTAGTAGATTTCTGAGGTTTAGGAAAGAAGTGTAGTAATGGTAGGAATGAATTGTAAAACAACATAATTTAGTGATTTTGCTTTGAAACGAGATGTGGTTTACTGGAATTAGGTAATAATGCTAATGTAGGATGCTGCAGTTGCTGAAAAACAGTTGAAAACTATTTGTAAGGCTGCCATATTTGCTGAAAATAGCAAGTTTGGAGCAGTAGACTGCTGTAGTTGTTGAACTGCTGAAAACAACAAGTTTGCAAGGGTGAAAATTGTATGCAAGACTACTGTAGTTGCTGAAAACAGCAAGTTGAAGCTGTATCTTATTGAATTTTATCAAGAGAATGTTGTAGATGGTGTTGTGAATCTCTACTCTCAGCTATTATTAACTATAAAACTGAAATTAGGTAGAACGGCTTAAGAAGGAAAAGGGATTTTGAATGGAATGAAGGATAGTACGATTGAGGTGGTGTATAAACGGAGAAGAAAACAGAACCTAGAAGAACAAATTCCAAGTGAGCTGAGATACCCAATGATGCATAAGAAATAATAACAATGTTATAAAATTGCAAATTGATATTTATCATATTTACGATAGCATTTTTTTTTTGTTCACATGATATCATGTATTTTAATTCATTACAATTGATTCATATGTGGATTACACATGTAGTTGATTAAATTGTTGCTATGAAATGAAAGAAAGTATAAAGTGATCTAAGCCATATGCTGGGGGATAAGCCCACACAAGTAAAGACAAAAGACTTGACGAGGTAAGCCTATACTCTCAAGTCTAGAAGTTGAGAATTTAGACCCAACCCTGAATTGAGAGAACAACTTCAATTTTAAAAGTTGGGAAGCTAGACCCAACTTTGAATTGAAAAGCTGAAAGGGTGCAAAAGCTTATAGCCATCATATGACTTGTTAAAAAGGGTGTTGAACGATTAGTAATATGGAAAGTACTGCTATGTTTTCTTGTGACCCATATGGAAAGTGCTCTAACCATGTTATTATTTAGTCACTAATGTTATGTATTTCTTAATGGTTAAAATATTATTATTAATTTTTATGCATTGCTTGTGTATTTCATTGAGCCATAGCTCATTTGCAGTGGTTATACTGCAGGTAAGGGAAAGGAGCCCGTAGGGCACTAGGCGAGAAAGAGGTGACCGTTCTTTTTTTGGAGTAAATATGTTTTGATGTACAAAGAGATCTTAGAGGAGATATGAAGGATAGCTGTATAAACCTTTTGGTATGTAAGTAAATTTCAAAAGATTATGTTCGATGTTCAGTAAAGTACAGAGTCGATAGGTTGACATGTTAAGAGAGCCTAAATAGATTTCTTTCCTTCTCTGTTATACTCCAGTTTGTATGTTAGAGGGTAAGTAAAACTGGGGTGTGACAAAAACATTCCGCTTGAAGTGCAATGTGAAGTGTGAAGAAGGGCTATGTTTACATGAAATATGATAGGTTTGTATTGAATATTAATGAAGAGCAGAATATGAACACTCAAATTATTCCTCCTTAAATTGCTACGAAGAAACTCAAGAATAAAGTTTATTTAGATATTACCATGTGCTTTTATGAAAATGGCATTCAGTTCAATATTGCTAGGGGTCTAACATTGATCAGAATGCTTAGATTTGTTGGGAGTTATGTTCAGGGCCTAGAGCTTCCTAGTATGTATGAGTTTAGAACCTACATGTTAGATGAAAAGATCAGGACAACAACAAAACTGGTAGATAAAGTTAAAAGACCTGGGTTGAGACAAGAGTGACCATAATGTTATATGGTTGGTCAGATATTCGACATAGGAGTATCATCAACTTCCTTAATTAGCAATCCATATGGACCTATACTTCTGAAATTTGTTGATGCTTCAATTTTTATAAAAGATGCACAACTGTTATTTCAAATGATGGATGATATAGTGTAGGAAGCAAGAGAGGCATTATTGGTTCAAGTTGTTATAGATAATTTAAGTTCAAGTTGTTACAGATAATTCAAGTGCATATAAAGCTGCGAGGGATTATTAATAAAAAAGATGAAGCATCTCTATTAGACTCCATGTGTTGCGCACTACATTGATTTAATGCTTGAGAGAATGGGACATAAACAGAAGATTGGTGACAATGAATTAAATTATTTATTTGTTAATAATTTACAATATGATGATAGATAAATTACTCCTAAAATTGTTGATGTTCTTAAAATTGAAGTTGAAGGAGAAACTTATGTCAATGAGAATGAAACAATCAATGTTGACATTGAAAGATATATATTAAATTAGGATCAACTTCTACTACACAAGTATATTTAAAAAAAAAAAAAGGGACTGGAGCTTTAAAAAATTCAAAGGTAATCTTAAATATAATGGATTATTTTTTATGTTATTAATTTATTATTTTATTTTATATTACAACAAATAAAATATTAACTATTATAAGGAATAAGGAAAAAAATATAATAGCTAAAGAAGATTTTGAAGATGACTTTGACATAAACAATGAGGATTCTTCTGAACACTATTGAAATGATAGAGACTGTCTTGGGTCTTGATTCTTAACGGTGTGTTTAAGTTTTAAGTGAGTATTTAATTAAAATCATGTGTTCCTTGCAGTAACATTTACTTTCAAACAAGTTATTATGTTCATAATTTACTTAATTATTTATAATTTTTTAATACTTTATTTTCCCATTTTGAGGCTTACATCTCAATCCACCTCAAGACTTATGCCTCGCTTAGACAAAATGCCTCAATTCTCAAGTCACCTTTTCAAACCTTGGTTGTTTGTATTGTGCTAGAAAAAATTGGCATGACAATAAGGTAAAAAGAAGCTACATAATTTTATTTTCAGGCACTTGGGAATGTACTTATGCTCGAACTTTTGACAGCTTTTAATGAACCAGGCAAAGTCAAATTAGCAGGCATTACTTAAATTTGCTTGAATAACCTTCCAATTCGACTTTAAATCAATAGATAAAAATGACGCTCAGCCAAATCATACTTCAGCAGCTTCTAGAGTTTTGTGCTTTGCAGGCATTCAAAATAAACAAGCTTACATGTAGTTTTGCCTGAATAGATGCCTTATAATTTAGACTACTCTTTAAAAGTATGAAAATTTAATGCTTTATACATGCAAAAAAGTATATTCAATGAAAAGATTATTGTTCAAATACAAATACCTCTTGCTTGAAATTAAAAAGAGGAGGGAAAGGGCGACCATTTGGCAGTCGGGCACTGGGTTCTCGTAGCTCATCGAAGAAGGGATGAGCGCAAGCTTCCAGCTGAATAAAGAAGAACAGAATAAGCAACCTCAAAGTGCAAATAATCAAATGTCTATTTAACCACGTTATTTACAACTAGGTCCAGGTAAGTAAAAGAACAAACATCATTTACTGGGATAAACAAGTCATTTGAAACTGAGACCACTGATTATTCCAGACCATAAAAAAAGATCATGATTTCAACAGCATTAAATACTAAACTATATTTAATAGGTCAGTAAACCTATGAAAAGATAATTACGTACCCAATTGAATAGGTTGATAACTCAAAATATTATGCACTGTATATTAAATGGCTAGAATATAACTATATCTATTGTAAGTTGATAACTTATATACAATATTATCTATTTTGAAAAAAACAAATATTCATAAGTAATTCCATTGAGTTAACTCTTTCAATGTCAAAACTCATCGCCAAGTTTACTGCAGGAAATATGAGCAACTTACTCGGTCCTTAATTATTTTTCTCATTAGTTTTGAAACATAATGAACATGCATCAAATGCACTGATGGAAACCTACAAACTGCATGTGGTCGAGTCAAGAAAATATATAATATAAAAAGTTAAAATGAACAACAAAGAAACCTGGGACCTCAGGAAAAGGATACTTTTATTTAGGTGTTAAACAATCTAGGAGTTTGGTCAGAATGCTAATTATTCGTTGCATAATAATTAAACTAGGTCTCTTAAAGCTTTTTGTTCGTTTTGCTTTTGAAATATCTAGCAGTTACAATTTTGAATTAGGTGTAAAATTTGCAATTGAAAAAATCCTACATTGAGCATCAAATTCCTCCATAGCTTCAGGATTATGGCAACGCGCTTAACAAGGCTCAGGATCACACACAAAACAGTCAAAATTTACACAGTTGTTAAGATAATAAGAGATAGCTACCACAGAATTCAATGCCTATGAGGAAAATTATTCAATAACAATGTTTGATTATTTTACCAATCGGTCCATTATTATCAAAAAGGACGCTATAATATCTTACAGCAGTGTAACGTAGAATTGGTGAGTATTGCAGAAGTCGAGAAGTAAGATCCATTGCTTCTGAGGGCATTCTCTTGTGAAACACCTGATTTCAAAAACATTTTTGGTTTAGCCAAAAACAAGAAAAGATGAGAAGTTTAATAAATTACAAACCATCAGCTCAGGCTTCGCTCATGTAACATCATCCTTAATTAATAAATAATAGTAAATTAGTTCAGTATTCATCTAAGTTAATATTTCTGCTCTAGCATATAAAGATTTCTTTTGAATATGCATAGCCGATCACAAGCATACAATTAGTGGATACAGCTGTTTATGAATAAGGAAGAAGATATAGTCAAGGTTTAAAACTAAAACTTTTGGCGGTTGATATGATCATGAGTCATTTTAATTAATCTTAACTGCATGAGCATGCACCATGCTCAGGTAAACTTTTAACAATTTAATATTTGTATATTCAACAATAGAATATATTTAAGAGCTAGATAGCTTTCCCTAATATTTTATAAATAAAAGCATAAAATTAAACACAATTTAGCAGAACAGCATTGCATAACAAGTTGTTTTGAGGATGAGAAATATGCATGTTTTTTTCAGATCCTAGTCATTATATGATTTTTACCGAGCTATTGAATGCAAAAAGAGTAACAAATCTAACAATTACATATATGCCTTATAAGTAAAGCCAATAAGCTCACTTATATTTGCATAGGTGGAAGGAGAAATGGAGCAGTTGAAACTCTCATGGCAATCTACCTTTTCCTCTGTTTTGAAGTAAAAAGAGGATGGCCGTCAAGTAAGAAATCAAACCCCTAATCACCGAGGGCAACAAGTAAAAAATCAAGCCCTAATCAACAATTTCCTTTTCCCAACTCTGCCCATCCACACAATTGTCATGTGGTTCATCAAAAAGAATTTTCCATGTCTACAAAAAAGTGGGTTTCACAAGATTGACGAAATCACAGCAGCAAAACAAACAAAACAGGCCAGTAATACGACAAAACTTAGAATTCCGACATGATTTCATTCTTGTGATTATCTAATCAATCCAAGGAAAAAATCTAAATGTGTACGGAGTCTGATACATTAAGCAGACATAAGTCATCTTTATGAGCTACTCTTGAGTTCATTAATAAAAATCTGATGCAGGACATATATGAAAATTTGATTTAAATAAAGGAATTTGCACGCTTAATGAGTAGGAGCGAATTAATTAAAGCTGTGTGATGACTCAAACAAAGAAATAAAACCAAAGAACGGTAAACACAAGATTAGGCCAAGTTATTTGCGAAAAAGTAAAAACCACGTAATAATCAATTGCTCTAGACGTTGCAAATGAAATGGGTTTCAACAAGAAATCCCTAATCTAACAATAAGAGTAGTGCTATGAAAGATCTCTCACACAACTCCTAATAAATGCTAGGTTTTAGCTGGAAGAATTAACACAACTTTCCATCAGTCAATTAGAACTACAATTGAGAATGACTAAAAGATAAAAGAGTAGGAAGAGAGATCACCCAAGTAAACAAGACAAACGAAGCTCCAGTGTGGGGTTTATGTGCTTGTGAGGAAGTAGACAGCAACTAGTGGCTTCTGGGGCGGGGCTGTTCAGCGACAAATTCCTGTTGGAGTCTTTGGACAGCAGGTTAGAAGCCGGAGATGGAATATGGACAACACCCTACTAGGTTCGGCAAGCCTTGGACTGCTCTTCAATGCTACCGGAGGCTTCGGACAGCAGATTATGGCCTTTTAGGCTGCTGGACAGCAGTTCTCCTGAGTCTGAAATTCAAGACAGCAACTAGATCTCGGCCAAAATCCTAAAATTATTCTGGACAGCGGCTGGTCTTCTCTTGGACAGCAGGAGAATCAAGTGTTGGGACTAGGGTTGAAGTGGGTGGCGGGTAGAGAGAGGGAGGAAGGAAGGAGGAATTAGGGAATTAATTCATTTGATTGGAGCTTAGTGTTTTGGAAAGAAATCAATTGGGAGAGGGACCATATGGCCGGCGGCATCAAGAGAGTGGAGGGGATTGGGGAGAGGGTTTAATGCTTGCCTCTTTGAGAATTCCAATTAAGGAGGGAAGAATTAACTCCAATCCAATTCAAAGTTGATTTGGATTTGATTGGGTAAGTTTCCTAAAATATAATCTTATTTTAGGAAACAATTTGAATTTGGGGAGAGGAGGTTTGAATTATTTCCAAGATGAGAGATTGGGTTTAGAAAATAAATCCAAGGACTTAAAGGTGGGGCCGGCGGCTTAATGGGGCTAGGGAGATTTGAGAAGAAATTTAACACCTTCCAAAAATAGGGAACTTCAAATAAGGGAAAGGGATCTAATCAAATTTAATTCAAATTTGATTTGGATTAGATTTGATGACTTTCAAAAATTCAAATTTGAGATTTTAGGAAAGGATTTGAATTCGAAATCTGCCCCAAATTTTGTTCAAACCCAAATTAGGAAATAAGGAAATGTAGGGGAAAGAGGCTAGGGAGGCCGGCGGCTTGGGTGGGGGAAAAACTTGGAGCCATGGTTTGGGGGAAACGGGATTGGGGTGATTTGTGGATTGGCGATTTGGAGGGGAAAGTGAGGGGGACGGTGAAGAGGATGGTGGGGCCGATGGCAAGAGGGGTAAGGGGTTTGAGTTGAATGGCTTGGTGGTGGGAGACGTTGGCCGGTGGCAAGGTGGGGGTGGCTAGGAAACTCGGCGGCTAGGAGGAAAAGAGATTGAAAGAAAAAGAACGATAAAACAAACCACAAACCCGGCCGTCTCCAAAGTTGGTGGGTGCTCCGTTTCTCCTCTTTAGGGATCTCTCCAAAGCTCTCTCCTAGAACTCTCACAACTCAAAGAACACACGTGCAGGAATTTTCTTATAATTCATTCATTAATCCTCAAAAAAGAAGAGGGAGGCTTTAAATAACCCATACAATGAGAAAATGCAAAGTACTAAAATGTCCCTTGGGCTTACACATACCTAAGCCCTTAAGGGCAAAAAATGGAAAAGCATAATAAAACTTCACAAAATAAAAATAATACACCAATGATAAATATGAAAATCAAAAGTAAGGCGATGCAATCGTGGCCGTAGATCGACGACCACGCCTCTAGTAAATTTTCCATGTCTTGTTGTCCTCATCAAAACCCTTTAATGAAGCTAAACTCTTTAAACAATAAGGTGTCTTTTGGTGTAATAAATGCAATATTTTTGCAAACACAACAGTTAAATGTGCTCCTATGTAGAATTTATGGGATGAGTGCCCACAAATAAAGTTATATAAAAAAGGATAAAACTGTGAGGTTCAATATGATATGGGAAGAGCCAGGTCAAAGTAAAAAAATACCTTAAATAGTGTACCAACGAGAACTTTATTTTAGGAACTCCGCCATTAAAAATTATCATAATGAAGAATTCCTAAGATATGTGACCTCCTGGAAAATTGTACCAAGAAGGATAAATAGTAGGGTTCAACTTGATATTGGATAGGCTAAGCCAAAGCATAAAATACTTCGCATAATGTGGGCTAGGTCATCACAATAATATTTTGATTGATAAGAATTCGATTTATTGCAAATATATCAAAGCAATATACTAATAAGAAAATGGGAACTAAAGAGTCATATAAGATAGATTTTTATATGGAAACAACAACCTCTTTAACCTCTAGAGGCACCTCTAAAATCTTATTTGCACGCTATCTAAGGATCTCATGATAATGTTATTTACTTAGAAGGGGGGTATACAATAGGTGATTTATTTTTTTATTTTTTGGAAACTCCATAATTAAGCGTACTCATAATGGAGCCTTCCTAGGAAGAATTGCCTCATAAGAAGTTACACAAATAAGGATAAAGTTGTGAGGTTCAGTCCATTATGGGATGAACTTAGGCCAATGAGGACAATATTATATATAATGTATGTGGATTATTAACAATTCATTGAAGAATATTTGGTAACATAAACTTCTCAAATCTTTTACGGTACTCTACAAGTAACAATTGTGAGCCATTTGAAGCATTAGATTGTATGTGGGCAAAACAAACATTTCACCATAAAATTGATGAACCTCCATAATTTTTTACTACTCGAAATTTAGATTGAAAACTTCCTCAAATTGTTGTGACACTTGCAAGTCTCCTCTAAAACCACTTAAGTTGAATGAAAATAATCTCTTTAATATTGAGGCGCTTTTGGTATAGCAAGTGGAATTTATTTAGGAACCCCACAATTGAGAGAGCCTATAATGGAGTATCCTAGGATGAGTAACCTTCTAATAAGAATACAACAACAAGAACAAAAACAAGCATTTATCCCATTACGTGGGGTCGACTACATGAATTATTTTTCTCCATTGTGTTATATTAAGAGACGCATTCTCAATTAAATCTAATAAAAAAAGGTCATTTCAAATACTTTCCAACCAAATCCTTTCAGGACTACCTCTACTTTTCTTAACATAGGTCAAATCTAATACATTTACTCTCCTAACCGAGTCATTGGAAGGCCTACATTTTATATGAACAAACCATCTAAGACGACTCTTATCTATCACTAGAGCTACTCCAACCTTTTCACACAACTCTTTTTGCATTGTCTCTATGAGTAAAGCCACTCATCCAGCGGAGCACCCTCATCTCTACAACACTTGACAATTTTATGCTTCACTTTTAATGGCCAACATTCTATACCATAAAGCATTGCAAGTCTCACTACCATCTTATAGAAATTTCCCCTTAAGTTTTAGGGGTAGTTTTCTATTACACAATAGGCCCAAAGCATTCCTCCACTTCAACTATCCAACTTGATTTATACTAATAACATCTCCATTTATTTCACCATTACTTTGAATAATAGACCTGAGATATTTAAAATGTGTACTCTTTTTAATGATTTGATCACCCAAAGTCATAATCTCCTCACTAGATCTATTACTACTAAAATTATACTTCATGTATTCGAAAAACATGAGATTTAATATGATAGGTTGGATCGAAGAAAATAATATATCGTATAAGCCTAGCTATCATTATAGTTTTTTTTTCTCTATCATTATAGTTGATATAAGGGCTAGGCCACCTTGAATACGATAT